CCAACAAGGACAAGCTGTTGTCTTTGTGGGTGCTGGTGTTCTTAGGTTGTTAAGTGCCCTACCGTTGGCACTCCATGTTCAACAGCACAAGACATCCTCACAGTCACTGCTCTGTTTGAGCCCACCGACGCAGCCCCTGTGTCACCCCATTTGGCCAAGGGTCTTCTTTTTCTCGGACCCTCTCCTTTACCAAGCAGGCTGCCCTTTTCCCGGGACCGGTCTCTTGAGAAAATGGGTCCAAAGTAGATGAAACGGAATCTCCCCATCCTTGCTTCTAAGGAACATTCTGGTGGTAGCCCCTCAAGACACAGTTGTTCTTCTGACAGTCCCTGGTCAGATCTTCTCGTCTTCCTTATTCATCGTCTAGCTTTGGTGTGTCTAGGAAGCATTGGGAAATACCATGGCTTGGGTCTGGTGCACCTCAGACCTCAAAGAGGCAGCTCTGCTCTTTGCTTTTGCACAACCTGTTTCCCCAGTGCAATTCTTCGTTTGGTTTCTCCCATGAGCCTCGACTGGGGATCCAAGCAAAGCAACATCCTCTGCGATTGCCACTTCTTCTCCCTTTGTCCTTGTAGTGTCTACTGGCCCAGTTGTGAGGATTTTCGTTTTCCTTTACATTGAGCTGCAATCCCCACTGAGGGTTGTAATCCTTCATTTTGTCACTGACGGCTTCAAGTCCTCTTTCAGCCAAGCAGGGTTGGGTCACCTGCCTGCCCATCAAACGCGGTCATCGAGTCTTCTTTCAGTCCCGATGTTGGGTCAGCTTCTTAGATGCCTTGCTCGGCAACAGACTGGATGGTACAGTGGAAGAACTGACACACGCCGTTCCGGATTGTCAACCATGCTGCTGCTGCTTCACTGTGTTGTGCTCACACGACTCCAGGACCGTGGGTCCAAGTGGATGCTTTTTTTGCCAATGCCTTCAGTGCAGCTTGGACTTCTTCCTGCGGCACCATCCCTTCTTCGTATGCTACCTCTTGAAATGGTTGAATGTTGACCGGTTCTTTATGGTGCCATGACTCTATATTCTCCATCTTCTTTGGATGCTTCCTGCATCGTTCATTATTTTGCCTATAGAATCTTTCAGTATTACAATTCGAGGCTGGAATTTCTTCTTCAGTCCTTTCAGCTGAGATACACTGAGCGTGCTCTTCTTACTCCATGATGTTGCACATTTCATCCGAATGCTTTCCTTTGTCTCCTTCAAGCTGCCTTTTGAAACGTTTTTTTCTGTCACCGTATCTTCCACTGGCTTTAGCTCCTTTATCATCCCTGCCATTCGTTGTCGCTCCTCTACATTCAAGAGCTAGGGTCAGTCTCTTCTAACATCCACTGGGGGCTTTTCATTCTTCTTAGTGACCTGTTGTTTCCTCCATGCCTGAGGCTCATGATGTCACCCCACAGCTCGTCCCCTCTTCCGTCATGTGTTCAGTGCATCAAATCTGGTCCTTAGATGATCTCCGAATTCCAGTGGGATATACTCAAGGTCGTATTTCGGCTCTCATGGACTTGTCTGAACTTTCTTCACCTTCGACCTAAACTTGCATATGAGCGATTGATGTTCTGCTCCACAGGTGGCCCCTGGCCATGTTTTGGCTATTTGTTGAACTTCATTTTCAAAGATGTAGTCAATTTGATTGCCGTGCCTTCCATCTGATGAAGTCCATGTATCTAATTGTTTGTGTTGTTGCAAAAGGTCTTTGCAACCAAGAAGCCATTGGCCATGCAGTCTTCTATCATGCAATCCCCAACCTTTGTCTCTAATCACCAAGGCCATAACGGAAAACTACTGATCTTTCCTACTTGTTTCCAATTTTCTCAATACAATTACCAGTCACGGTCAATGCATCTCGACTGCATGTTTGATCAATTTCCTGCTGAAGTTGGTGGTGGTGAGGTGCCGTTGAATCAGTTTTGACCCATAGCGACCTTACATACAGTAGAACACAACGCTGCCCAGCCCGGCACCATTTTTCATGTTTGTACAATTGTTGTTTGACCCCCACGGACACCGTGAAGTCACGGTGGCAATCCACCTCATCGAAGGTCTCCCGCTTTTTCACTGCCCTTCTGCTTGATAAAGCAAGATGTCCTGTTCTGGGAACAGGTCTCTCCTGATAAGATGTCCAAAGTACATATCCCACCATCATCACTTCTAAGGATGCGATGTACTTCTGGTTGTAATTCTTCTAAGACAGATTTGTTCAGGGTACTTTCCGTATTCTTTGTCAGCATCATAATCTAAACACATTGATTCACCTTCGATCTCCCTGATTCTGTGTCCAACTTCCCCACGCCTTTCATGATATCCTTGCTCGTGGACACTTTAAAGAGGTCTTGTGCAGCAGGCTTGCCCGATGCAATGCCTCACTTTATTTCTTGACTGTTGCTTCCCTGAGCCTTGATTATGGATCCCAGCAAGACGAACTCCTTGTCGGCTTGATTCTTTCCTCTGGTTCCCAGGATGTCTGTTGGGTCTCCAAATAGGACTTTGAGAACATCCCATCGGATTTTCAAGAATGAACTTGACTCCTTGAATACCAATGACCGCAGAGCTGACGAAAAGAAATTGGTACAGCTTTTCAGTGTCTTCTTCCCTGGTTTTAGCGGTTGGTGAGGAAATCTGAGTAACTGTGGTATTAGCTGCCTGGTCCTATCATGGGCAGCATTGCACTTCAAGCTAGATCCTGAAATGCACTTTTTGATGATGAATGTGGGCCACCCCTCTTAGATCACCATTCCCGACACCGTCAAAACTGTGACAGGTCAACTCAAGGTGGACAATGCCAGTCCATTCCAACTCGCTAGTTACTAGGGTTTTGATCTTCACGCAATCCATTCCATTTCTGATGACTTCTAATCTTCCTAGGTTCACCCTCGGCATATTCCACGCTCTGATTATTTGCACATGCTTACAGCTGGTCCTGTGCATTTGAGTTGTGCCCCACCAGCAAAGGAAGGTCCCGGAAGTGCTGCTCCACCAACTTCATGAAGGTCAACGCTACTTTGAAGAGGCAGCTCTTTCCCAGTCGTATTTTGAGCGCCTTCCAACCTGAGGGGCAGGGGCTCATCTTCCAACAGAAAAGGTTCCCCTGCTATCCATCCTGTTTGCAGGGGCTAATTAGAAGTGCACAGCCGCATCCTTGATGGTCTCTTCTTAGTCTGGAAGCTCAATGAAAGCTGTTCACCTGTGACCCTGCTGGTAGTTGCAATCCAGGTGACCTACCTGCCAGCATCCCAGCACCACGCCAGCCACCATAGTAACAACAGACGGTCTTTACGGTTACTGACTTCTTGGTCAAGTTCTCTGGCGTTTCGGCTACAATGTTGTGGTAAGTAGTATATATATGTGTCCCTAGACTGCACTGAGCATGAAGGACCCCTGGTCGTGCAGTGGGTTAGGCACTGGGCTGCCAACTTCAAGGTCAAAGGCTGGTTCCAACCCACCAACCTCTGGTTGGGAGAAAGCAGCGGATGTCGGCTGCAAAGGTGTGCAGTCTAGGAGACCCGAGGGCACACTCTCCCTCTGTCCGATCGGGTCACTCTGAGTCAGAACCAACTCCAGGGCAGTGGGGGTGTGGATAATGGAAAACGAGAAAACCCGAAAGATTCCACTCAGTTGTCCTTAAGGTTGTAACTAATAGAGTTGTCATTCAGTGTAGAAAAATCCCACCAAGCGATTTTGTTGTTAGTGTGCCTCCCATCATCTAAGAAACAGCGCACTTTACAACCGCATTTGCCACCTATCACTGTATGATTGAAAGAGATAATAAGCCTTCCTAAGGCTCTTGTCAGGTCTGATTAGGGAGCAGGAGGTCGCTGGCAGGTAGCGGTGGGATGAATTACCTCACTGGTGACAACCACCTTAGTGATGTCATCACTCACTGCCACCCCCAGCTTTGGTCACACCACCACCACCACCACCCCGCTACCCACAGGGGGAGTTTCTGGAACTATTTTACTTAGAAGCAGGAAGTTGGGGTGTGAGCCCATGTTGGGGCGGGGCTGCCAAGCACGGGGCCACACTTCATCCTTTCAATGATGAAGGCCCCAAGAGTGACCCTGAACAGGATACCTGGAAAGCAGGGACCAGGACGCAGACCTCAGCCACAGAACAAGTTCTTGATGGGGAGGGCCCAGGCCCAGCAGAGCCCACTCAGCCCCTTCCCTGCTCATGTGGCAGGCTGGCGCCCACAGTACTCTTCTGCAAGCCCCCTGAATGCCTGAGCCCAGCCCCCAAGTGTCCTGGCAACCCTGGAGAACACTAGTTTGCCTTCCAGGGTCCCCTGATATTTTACCGGCCGGTGGACCGAGGCCCTGTGAAGGGTGGACCCAGCACTCCCGTATCCAGGTCTGCTGGAGGTCCCTCAGCCTGGTGCTGGGCTCCTTCCTCTGAGCAGCCTTTCTAGTAGGAGCCCAGCTGAGACTGAACTGGAATGAACCACAGTTCTGACATTGAAGGAAGGGTGAGGGGTGAGGGGACACAAGTTAAGATGGATAGAGACCGAATTGGTCAGGTCAAGCAGAGGGGGACCCTTGGGCATAGGGGCGGTGGCCAATGGGTCAGCTGAAGTCAAATCCCTTCTGGGGTTGGGGGCCAGGAGCAGGGCAGCAGGGCAAAGAGCTGGTGGGTCCAGCTAGGAGGTGCTTCCAGGGCCAGTCTGCCCGTCCTGCCACTCGACTCTGGGCAGGTAAGGAGCCTTGTCTCTGCAAATGGGTTCCTTGGGCGGATACCACCTGTGTGAGCTGGCCTTGGGGCACAGTCAGTCACATGGACACCCAGCCTCACGCATGGCACTGTGTTGAGGGTGGGGGCATCTGGCCTCTCCTCAGAGGGCTGGATGGGCTCTGGGTATATCTTAGCACTTCTCCCCCAACCTCCTGCCTGGGCCTCAACTGGAGACCCTGTTCCAGGGCCTGCACCCACCCTCCAGCTCTCTCCTTCATGTGGCCTGTCCTCGGAAGCTTCCGTTTACAGCAGGAGTCATCAGGGTTTGAGCTTAGGCTATTTCTTGCTTGCTGAAGCTGCCAGGCCAGGGAGCAGGAGGGCCCACCTCCAACTGGCCGGACACCTGCCCAGCACAGAATGGTCCAGAAGAGTCATCAGGTCCCACCTGCCTGCCCCCTGAAGCCAGCCACCTGCTCCAGGCTGGGTGCCCTATGGCCGAGGCCCTACTGGACTGGCACAGGCCTGGACACAGATGGCTTCCTGCGTGAAGGCCGACATCCCCAAGACCCAGGGTGGTGAAGTGGGTGGGGATCTAGCCCCACGAGTTCTGGCCTTGCCCCTCCCCTGGCAGTTGGCAGTTACAGTGGTCGCTGGGACCCTGTAACCTGGTTTGACACTTTCTGGGTCTCTGGCAGGTCCTTCTTAAGGACATCTGCCCTAAGGCAGTGTCCTGGGGGGAAGGGTCAGTCCCCCCAAGCCACACCTTTTCCCCATGGAATCCAGGAACGGGCCCACCATCCTCCTTCCCAGAAGCCTGCGAAGATTTAGGGGTAGGGAGTCTGCGGATGTGGTAGATAGTTGGGCTTCAGGCTGGCTCGGCAGGGTGGGGAAGAGTCCAGGTCTGGCAGCCTGGGCAACAGGTAGGGGCCTTGGGTTGGCTGACACAAGAGGCTGTGGAGTGGGGAGTCCTCTCAGTCCTGCGGGGTAGGGGCTGGTGAAAGAGGGAGGTCATGCTAAGGGGAGGGGTTCCCCATCACAGGCCCCCAGCCTGGGCCCTGGGGACAGGGCAAGGGCAGGTGGCCAGCTGCTGCTAAGCTGGGTGGCAGCTTCCTCTTTCCATGAGGGCGAGCCTGGGTCCACCCTCCCAGATCGGCAGGGCCTGACCACAGGGTGGGTGGAGGCGGGAACTGATGGGGGAGGCTGAGCTGACCGTGGGCAGAGGGCAAGACCCAAGAGGAAGATAGTCAGGCACAGCTGAGACCCGGGGGCCTGGGTGGGGTCCCCACGCCACTGGTGCCTCGGAGGAAGTGAAAGCCCTGTGGAGGAAGGGGTGGGGTGGGGGGCAGGGGTCCCAGTCAGTCACCTCTGCCCAGGGCTCGCCTGTCTCCAGGTCTGGAGGCCGGTGGAAGCAAGCAGGATCTGAGCTCGGGTTGGGCAGCTCCTCAGCCTAGGCCAGGGAGGTTGGGTCTGAGAACCCCCAGGGTGAGCAGAGCCCCATCTTCGACCTCCCCTGGCCCAGAAATAAAAGCTGCTGGGAAAACCTGGGAAGGTCCCTGCACCAACTTTGGGGGCCCAGTGTTGGGGTGTCCCGAAGCCTTCAGTGCTGATACCTGAGGATGAGGGAGCCCCGAAGGCAGACAAGGGCTAGACCTTCAGGCCACCAGTGCCAAGCTGGTCAGCCTCCCTGCAAGCCCAGGCCACTGGGGCTCCGTTGCCTCCTCCGTAGTCTGAGGCCAAGGCTCCCTCTGGCACCATCAGCCCCACACTCCCACCTCTCCGACCCTCCCAGGGGCCTTAGAGTCCCAGGGAGCTTGGAGTTCCTGGTTCACCTGACGGGCAGCCAGTGAGGGATCACACAAGGAGACTCAAGAAGTGGATGGGCCCTGAGTGGCCCTGGAGCCCCCACCCCAGGCCTAGGAAGGGAGAGAAGTCTGTCTGGAGGCTGCCCCCTCCTGGCACTGCCAGGCCAGTAGGGCCCGTCAGGAGGTCTGGACCCACAGTCACTCATGGGATGACCCCACCACCACCACCAACCTCCCCCACCCCTGAAAGGCCGGGGCAAGTGTCCTAGGCCCGCCTGACCACAGGAGTGGGCTCGGGGTCCCTAGCAGGCCGCCTGACGCTCAGGTCCTTTAGTGGACAGTCTGGTCTGCGCCAGAGGGCGGCGGGGAGCAGGGCTGAAGGACTTACAAGTACACAGGAGTAGATAAATATGCCAAGCGGTTTCTTTTTTTTTCTTTTTAAATCAGGCATTTATAAACAAGAAAGCATACATTAATTACATAAAAATAGTTCTCGAGTAATAGAGTAAGTCGTAATATTGTCATTAGCAGCAGCATGGGACACGGGGCGGGACATGGGGCGCTCCTGGCCGCTGAGAAGGTTGAGGCGGTCTTTTTCCGGAGTTGAAAGGAGAAACAAAAACACCTGTAACTTCCAACTTAAAGCGAGCATGAAAACGCCTCCCTCAACCCTGGGGGCTGTTGGGGTGGGGGCGGGGGCACAGGCCGATCACACCACCCCCACAGCCTGGCGGGAAGCAGGGATGGGTAGAGCACCCCAGCCAGGGAAGGGCTGGCCAAGGGGCCCGACTTCCCTCTAGCAGAGGGGCAATGTCCCCCCTGCCCCCCTCCCCCCACCCGCCCCGGTTAAAAACAACTCAGAAAACAAGATAACTACCAGGTAAGAAAAGTCCCTGGAAAAGGAACCACCATATACAAGTATGATACAACGGTGTAAAAGGAAAAAAAGAAAAAAAAGTATTTACACGTTAATTGTCTTTACACTGGCTAGTTCCATATGAAAAGCAGGGTAGTACGTGGGCGAGTTAGCTGCTCCGTAGATATGAATGTTATTGCTGTTGTTTTTCTCCCCGTCGTTAAAAATCTTTCAGTATAGAAATAACGAGCAATGAAACAGAACACAGTTTAGTTCATGGGTTTTACAGACTGGGAGATGCTTCTTCCCCCTTCTGCAAAGAAACTAAATGTAGCTGTGCTGACGAGGGCCCGGGGCGGCCCTGGGTCTGCATGGGCACCCTGGTGCCTGCTTGCCCACCCCCAGCCTTACCCGGGAGAGGGCCCCCACCCAGCCGGAGGCACGAGGTGGCAAATGGCTATGGCTGGCCTGGTGTCAGAAATGTGCCCACCACCCCAGGACTGGGCAGGCTAAGTTCCTGTGTGCACGACCCTGGGATAGAGTCTGTGGGGAGACCAGAGGAGGGGGGTGGGGTGGGGAGGGGAGCCTCCTACAATGGCATTGTGGACTGTTGGTCCTGACCAGGGCCTACACCCACCAGCCTCTTTGGGACACGCTAAGGGTTCATATTCTCAGTCGAGAGCATTGATGGGCTCGTGGGACAGGGACTCTCGGTGGTCAAGATGTGTGGCGCTCTCTTTCTCACACACACACACCCACACACCCACACCCTCCCCTCGGGAAGCTTACTCTCTGGGGCTGAAAGACTGAGCGGATTTTCTGTCCACAACTCGGCCGAGCCACACAGAAGCACGCAGACACGCGTAAAGCTTTTGCTCCAGCTAAATCATTTAGTTTCCCTTGGAGACAAGACGGAAAACCCCCCACAAATCTGGCAGGAGGCGGCGGAGCACACAGCGGCTGCGTGCTGCGCTAACAAGACCGACCCTTTACACGGCGCGGTAATAATGCCCATCGATGGATACACGTGTGGCAGAGGTTTAAAATTCCATGCATACAGATTCAATAACTGCAAAGGAAAAACAAAAGCAAGAATAAAAACGAAAACAGAAAAAACCGAAAATGAAAAGTCTCCAAACAAATGCTGCATATATGTGATGTTCCTTTTGCATTGCACGTTAGAGGGGGCCCGGGCAGGCCGGCGGCCCCCCGCAGTAAACCAAGGGCCAAGACCCTGCGGACGATCCTATCACCTCAACGCCGGCTGGGGGGCTGGCAGTCCTGGTCTTTGCTCTTGGCTGCCGGGGGCGGGGGCGGCTCTTCATGGCTGTGTGGTGCGCACCTGCGTCTTCCGCCCCACCACTCCCTTCCGTCGCACGCGCACCTGCCCACCGGGCACGGAGGGGCGGGTTCCTGCTGGATGGCTCGTGTCAATGAACACCGTGATCTCAGGTTGGGCCGCCGCCGCCCCTCATCTCCCGGGAGCCCGCTTTTCAAGCTCGGACGTTCAGAAACCTTATACAATTTGCATAAACAGTTGAGCGTAAACGAGATTATTTGGAATAAATGCAAGTAACGTATTTTTGAGTGGCAGACTGGATGGCTACTGAGGGCGGGTGGGCTGGGGGTAAAAAGACGGGCGTCAGGGTTCTCTGTACAAGATGCTGGAAGGCACAGGCCACCCCCCGAGTTCAGTGTTTGCATTTCCGTTTGCGTGTGGTTCCCTTGTTTGACCAAGCACCAGAGGGGACGTCTTAAGCGCGGGGCCCTCGGCTCGCCCGAGGGAGATTCTCGACAAAGTGCAGTTCTAGGAATACGTTTCAATGAACGGACGGATGGACGGACGGACAGGCGGACGGAGAAATGAAATGACGCTGCGTTTGTTCCGAAGCGCAGTCGCGGCCCCGCCGGGAGGAGCGATGCCTGCCGAGCTGGGGGACGGGGCGTTGGGGCGGGGTGGGCATGCCGGGCGGGGCACGGGCGTGCGGGGGGACTGGGTACCCATCCCTGCCCCCCCATGCTGATGGCCGTGGGGACGATGGGTAGGGGTGGGGGCAGCTCATCGCGCACGCGCGCGACACACTCCACCGCGCTTCCTGGCGCTGCAGGAAAACCGGGGTCCTTGTCATTGAAAAAATAGACTCTGAAGAAAATCGCTCCGGGGTCCTGGGCGGGGGCGGCCGCGGGGGCGGATGAGCTGCGATGGCTTCCGGCCGGCGGGCCGCGTGGCGCCACCCCGGCTTCCTTAGCGGGTCTTCAGGTCGGTGTCCGCGGTGGACGAGCCGGGGTGGGGGCGGGGGGCTCTCAGAAGTCAGTCACTAAAAAACGTGTTGAATTTTCTTTGTATCGCGTCTCGGTACTGGTTTTAAATAGCTTATAACAAAAGTGTAAATGTTAACATGTCCTGGAGGGGGAGGGCCGCCCAGGTGTCGTCGGCGCGGCCCTCCCGAGTTGGCCAGTAGAAAATTCTGCAGTGGATTCCAAAAGGATGTGGTTACAAACACTCGCTTGGTTATAGGCACAGTAAGACGTTGTGCTGTGTGAACCGAGGGGGTGTGGGAGGGGGGAGGCAGGCCGTGGCGCCGCCTCGGCCACGGCACCACGCCCACCCGTTCCGACACGTGCTGTCCCGCACGCCACGCGCACGCGCCGCCGAGGGTCCCTACGGCTCCAGCCCGGCCCCGCTCTCGCTGCCCGATAAATATGCCAAGCGGTTTCTTTTTTTTTCTTT